GGGAGTACACCCATAAGAACAAAAAGAGAATAATACAAGAGGAAAGACTTCCACTCTGTGGCTTTCCAGAACTTTCTTTCTGACAATGAGCGTGGTGCCCGGCTTATCTCCCTTGGAGGTTTCATCTCGAGTAGCCTAGAGTCAAGTATTTTTGTGTGTCTACCAAGGTACCATGGACACTGATTGTATTGTGGATCGAACCATAGAGTGGCCCACTGCCTAACCACACCTAGCAGCACGCAATGCATGTAGTCAGGTACAAAACCTTTCACTATGTTGAACAATGGCAAGAACAAAAGCTGACAAGGACCACGGATACCATTTACGGGAGAACGATTTGCAGCAATAGCATCATCTTCCCACTTTTCTTGTGACCTCGGCTCAGGCTCAGGGACACTGAATGGATATACACGCACCAACCCAGCTCCTTTCTCAACCATTTCGCCAGGATGGAGACACCAGTCACAACCAAATTTACCATTAAACTGAATGGAATTTTTCAGCCTGGGCCGTGCAGCTGCATCACAAGCACTAGTGAGTAAAAATGCTCGGGAGGTAGCAGGTGTATTTGTGACAGGATTTTGCCAGGTAAAGCCCTGTGTGGAAAGCATCTTGGCTTCCTCAATAACAGGAGTGAACATTGTAGTCATATTTGGTGATGACCGTCCAAACCATAATGCCATGCAAAGAACATGTTTTTTTCGGCTTTCAGATGGCAGTTCATTGACAACACATTGCAAAGGCCAGATAGAATACCCTGATGATTCAAAAACTGGAACACCATCACAGTTCCAAAGAAGAGTTAGATCTGTCTCACTTATGTTGTTTTCGATCATTGTTTGCCGCATTTCACTACCATCGAAAATGTCAGAGACTGCATCATCACTGTAACAGTGGGACCTTCCGAGTTTTGAAAAAAGTTCAGAATTTTCTAAGAGGTCTCTTAGTTGTGATGCCAGTGGTAAATAGATAAAGAAGTTTCCATTTTTTTTGCAAGTAGTCAAATCATACTTGAATTGGCAGTCAGTATTCCTACACACACCCTCCTCAGATTCTCCAATATACTCAGTGCAAGATGGACAATAGAAATGCAGTTCCATTTCACCATGCACACTTTTTAGAGTTTGCTCAAATAGGTAGCGAGTATGGGGTGCAACACCAGGCATCAATGTATTCAGAAGAGTAAGGAGATCTTGAAGAGCTGCTCCTGTAATCTTGTGGCGGAGAATAAATGCTGTAATCATCAGATTTGCCTGTCCTGCATCTATATGGGATCCACAAATTGGTGGACTATTTTTCTAGGGAAAACAAAAATTTAGCTTCATCATCATCATCATCAT